ATATGATTGCAGCTCCAAATCTTTGATCTGTTATAGATGCGTCGGTGTAAATCTGTGTGTGTGGTTCGGCTTTAGCTATGATTTCATTGAAGTAGTGTTTATATATTTTAGGATTTGTGTCTTTTTTTGGGAGGTGATGGAGATCGAGGTTGATGTCTAGAGAAATTGTCCTAGGTGGCTGAAGACTAATAGTTGATGGTAAGTTCTGGTCTAGGTCGAATTTATCTTGTAGATTTTTAAATATCCTTAAGGGAGGGGTGTATCCTTGTGGGTTAGTAAGTATTTTTTTTACTTCAAATTGTGAATTACATACTGGCCATGGTAAACTAATATTCACTTGTGGACATGGATTGTCCAATTCACAATTTTCCTCGGTTTCATCCATTGTTGTTTAAAAAATAATACTTGATAATTTAATAAGTAACAACTCACAACTAACAACAAAATCGCACACGCTGTTTCCTGTTGCCTATTTGCCTTTGCACGTTTGATATATTATTAAATTGGTAAATAAAATACTATGATTTATAAATTATAAGAAACATCAAACATATAGAGTATTATAAACTCTTGTAATAAATAATAATGTAATATTATAACAAATATCTTATCATTATTAACTAGGTACTCTGGTACTGTATAGTACCGTCAACCACACATCCACACATTAGATAAGTGATACAATAATAATTTATAATTTAAAATCATATTATTGTTATAATGTTATTACAACTTGAAAATAAACACTATTTATAGATTCAAGAACTAGTCGTGGTTTTCTGTGTCCCGTAAGCCTGGTAAGTGGGAGTGAGTGGCTGACGGAGGTTTCAGTCATTCCATTATCAGCTTGTATTTTGGAGAAATCTAAAATCTTATAGTTAGAACCATTATAAAATAATATTTTAAAAACAAAATCTAAAACAGTACATTACAAAATATTGGAAATTGAAATTGGAGTATATAAGAGGGGAAAGATATGCTAAAAATTTTATTTTTTGGGCTGACAACTGCACGGGTTAAAACAAAAATTGGGTATTATTCACAGCATTAATCAGCACTTTGAACTCTAAGCACAACGATTCTATAGAAAGTGTCACTATTAAATACTTGACAAAAGGCCATACACATATGTTGACAGATGGTGTACATGGAAACGGTAGCATCCAAAAACCGCACACTTTTGATTTTGACCCTAAAAAGGTCGATAGCCAAAAACCGCACAGCTTATCGGTCATTGTGTAACAAATTACCGTACATTTATAGTGGGTTAAAACCGCACACTATTTTTAGTGAAAATAGTGAAAAGATAAGATTATAAGATATGTATTATTCAATAATCAAGTATTTAGTTGTCACTCGTTATTAGTCGGTCTCGATTCGGTTAGTGTACCTACGTCTATAATTTAGTATTAAAACGTTAATATCTTAAATTTTTATAATGGATTTTAAAATTATTGAAAGTAACAAAGGGGGCAAGTGCTTATTATATACAGGGTGATTTTTTTATCGAAGAACACTCATTATTTCAAAAAGTATTAATGTTTAAGAAAACATTTTTTTACATAGTTTCAAGTTGTTTATGAGTTATAAGTATTTAAAGTTTAGATGAGCGGAGTAGAGTGGTACGGGGTTACCCCGCGAAATGTTTGTCCTCTACTCCGCTCATCTAAACTTTAAATACTTATAACTCATAAACTACTTGCCCTAAATTCAATTTTTATGTATTGAAATAATCAGAAAAATATTCTGTTTTTGAATATCAAATTAAAATTAGATGTTGTCATTCAAAAAAGTAAAAAACTTAAACAATTAAAAGGATAAAAAATATTTAAAAATATAATTTTTTAATAAAAATATTGTTTTTTAACAACTTGAAACTATGTAAAAAAATATTTTCTTAAACATTAATACTTTTTGAAATAATGAGTGTTCTTCGATAAAAAAATCACCCTGTATATATATATTAGTATAACGTTACATGTATGTTTTAAGAAATTGACATTGTCTTAACAATCGACACACCAAGCTCCTACTAAAACTCTTAACTTTTAAATAAATGTACTGCAAAATGTCTATCCAATTCGTGCATTCAAACTATGAGAATAATGAGAACAAAAAATTAATTATACATATACATATGCGTTTTTTGTTTATCGACCTTTTTGGGGTCAAAATCATAACTGTGCGGTTTTTAGATACGACAATTTTTAAAATTGTGCGGTTTTAACCTATTAAATGTGTGCGGTTTTAACCTACCAAAAGTGTGCGGTTTTGTCCTGTATTTTATCAAAAGTGTGCGGTTTTTGGAGTCAACGATGGAAACATAGAGAAAAAATTTAAGCAAGTAAGGAATATAAATGATTATGATGACCTCAAAAATAAAATTAAAGAAAGTAGAACAAATTTAAACATTATTGATCAAACATGTTTTTTTAAATAAGAAACGAACCACTACCATAAAGAATGACCCAGTAAAAGGTTTTAAATTGTCGAGTCTAGTGATGGTAACATTTTTTAAAGGATCTACCAAAATGGTATATTATACTAACTTTTATGAGGCACCAGAAGAATTAGACTTTTTACAAAAAAAATTTTTAACCATTATGAACCAGACAAAATCAAAGAACGAGGTATAAACTTTGAAAAAAAAATGAAATAGTAAAAAATTACTTCCATTAATGCCAAATAATAGAAAACATTTTTGGACTACCTTACCAGTTTCTTTAACTTCAGAAGACCTAGTTAGTGAAATTGGACTATCAGATACTTTTATTCTTGAATGTGCAGAATGATGTATTTTTTATTACTTATTTGTGAATTATTACACAAGTAAGTATTCTTAACTTGGTTAATTATACTTTTATAATATATTTTATCATTTTACCATATGTGAACAGAAAGGACTGCAATTTATTTTTAATTTTATAGTTTTTTTAATTTATTTTATATTAAGTAGGTTGAAACATCTTACAGTGATTAATTGTTATTTATACATTTATATTTGTAAATATAAAAGTAAATACTTTTATATATTTTATAATTTTACCAAATGTGAACAGAAAGGACTGGAATTCATTTTTATTTTATTTTTATTTGTTTTATATGTAGGTAAGAACACCTCACTTCATTAATTGTTATTTGTAAATTTATGTTTGTAAATATAAACTACTTAAAAGAATTTGCAATTTTTAAATACTACGATACGTGTTTTATATTAGTTTTTTCGTTAAATTAAACTCACAAATCCCAAATTAAAACCAAGTATCTGCTATAACTTTGGAACCAATAAAAAAAAATGATAATTTTCAACACACATATAATTTGGAGGTTCATATGTTATCTATAATACATGGTTACAATATTGTGTGATAAAAAATTTTTCAGAGGCCTGTTAATGTTAATAAATTGGCTCTCCTGAACAATTTCACAAACTGTAATTACTGTGTTTTAGTTTTGGTCAGCCGTGGCTGATTAACTTATTGGATAAATAATCAATGATTAGAAGGTTAACTGGCACTGTACAACGACCCAACAACGTTAATCATAGATTAAGTCTAAATCACTGTTTAATCAAATGGTAATTAGATCATAATTTAATACAACTGGCCCTAAGGCCCCTGCAAACGTGTCATTTTTAAGGAGTTGTGTTTTGGCAATTATTTCGTTCCTGCGATTACTGATCGTCTTTGTGTGTGTAGTAAATGATCATTGTGTGTGTAAGCTCCCCTACCATCACCCGCGACCCGCATCAATTTACAATACATTGTTATTTCCTATAATATTATGGTTTATGGTCGCACGCACACACATGCAAAAGTCATTTAAGTTATAGATCAAAATATTCAAAACCAATTTATGAACGTGAAATAGCCGTTGGACTGACAAAAATTAAGGTACTTTTAGTGGTTCGATTTGAAAAATGTAAAGATGTTTGTGTTGGTAAACAAGTTTACTTTTCATTTGCAGGGGAATTAATATAAAACAATTGGTATTTCTATGGACTTCTCTATATGATATAGGTTCTTATAATATTAAAAAATATATCTGAGACTCACAAAACACGTTAAATTAATATTAAAAACAGGATAAAGATATTCAGTAGATATTTGTATGATATAGGTAGGTAACAGTGGCGTTTTCTCTGGGTGTGCAAGTTGTGTGTTAACGCCCTAAACATTGATGTCATACATGTGTGTAATATTGTAATTTGTAATTCATATTAGTATATTACATGGTTATATAATTGTATTTACAAAATCTTTAAATAATTGTCATGTAAAAATAATAATATCAAATAATAAACTATTGTCTATTTTAAGCTCTAAACTCGATCATGCGCCCGGGCCGTCTGCAGCTACGACGCCGATTACGGAATAATATTGTATTATGTTGTATTGTTGTGTTTGTGTAGGGTGTAGCCGTGTAGGACGTTAATGATTCGAACAACGACTTGTGGTATCTAATATCTCATATTCGTAGTTTGTCGTGATATTTTCGGATAACTTCGGTGCCATGTTAATACTAGACCAAGTCGTTGAAAATGAAATTAACGACTAGCCACTACTCACTAGTCACTAGTCTAGCGGTAGCCTATACACTGTGTTTGGACCGTTAGTGGGCCAGTGGGGATCGTCGCGGCTGCCTGTTTACGTCGTAGCCCATAGGTACTATACTGCAAGACTTCAACGCCGATCGTCGAAAACATAATATTATATAATAAATAATTTTAATAATATGTTGATTATTAATAGTTGATACGAATTTATTTCCCATAAGGGGGGTTTTCCTAATTGTTTTCCTCACACATTAACGCCTAACGCCGAAAGTCAGGAAACGCCACTGGTAGGTAATTAATATGCTGTATGGATTAAAAAATGATGTACCTAATTACAAACTGTAATTTTCATTCAAACGACTTAAAAAAAATATATAATAATAGGCTTGAATAACTATAGTTATTGAAATATTTATATACTAACCATAACTGTTAATATTTAAATTGTGAGTAAACACAAGTGATTTATTAATTTTTTTAATACTTTTATTTTATAACAATTATGGTCAAGATTCAGTTTTCAGTTAAAAATGCATTCATCCAAAAATATATACTATTTCTAACAGTTGCTTGTATGGTAAGTAAATAATTTATAATATATCATAATATTATCGTTGTCTTACATTATAATATATAATATATATTATATATAATATATGGTCGAGTTTCTTATTCCGTCGGTGAATCCCACACCCACACGTGTTGTGTATACCTTATCTACCTAACTTTACACTAGGTGATGACGTTTATGGACATGATGAATCGAATTCACTACATTGGAGCCAGTTACGCCATCGGAGCAATATTAATGGTAATTTATCGTATTTCGTTTTTATATGAAATACGTGTATAAAGTTTAATGATAGAGTGGATCTTAAAGGGTCAAAATTCTAACTAACATATTTTGACCAATATTTGTATATTGGCTCGTCTTAAATAATTAGCAGAAACATCGATACTTAAATAATGGTAAGGCTGTGATAATATACCTAGTATTAATTAGTAGTTAATATCCCTACCTGATTACCTATACCATCTAGCGCTGCGGTTGCGGTGCGGAGCTAAATACAAATAAGAGCTCGTGACATGACGGCGGTATAATATTAAGGGAGTAGGTCAACTTGTATTTAACCTGTGTAATTTTAAGAAAAATGGTCCGACCTCTCTGTAGCCTAAGCTAATGAACTGGTTGACTTTATATTTACAAGTTAAATTTCAAGTCGATTGGATGATTACAGACTGGGTAATATGCGAAAGTATTAGCGTAGTTATTTATCGAAACGCAATTTTTTCAATAATTGAACAATTGAACAATGGATAGTAATATGTTGTATATATACTCCGGAATCCGCCCATAATTCCCCTTTCAACCGGACCATGATATAATAAAAAGGTTTTTGATGGTCAGATCCTTCGGTAAGCATGTGACGTAGAGTAGTGCATAGATGCATAGTAATAATAATTTAATGATAATATGAATATACGGGTAAGCAAGTGACGTATTGCGCGGACTTGCACAAAATCTGGACTTTCGCGATTATACCATGTTGTTTATATTATCATAAACCGGACTATGATCTCAGCCTATGCCTATTTCCATCGCACGTCGTTTGAAATCGCTAATTAAACAATTCTTGGTAGTGGGGGTAACGCCGGGCGACTCGTTGTGTACATCTATATACCTATTTATTTTATCTTCGTCGCCAACAGCATTAAAGTTCTGCTTTGATATCCGTGGGTATCTATATATTTTTATTTATTTTATCGCCGTATTAATATACCTAGTACCATCGATTATGAATACTATATAATATTATAATAGGTAATATAAAATTCAAACAGTGCTAGTACTTATAATATTATTACAATATTAATATGAATAAATAGCTATATATTTATTAAACTTATTTGTTTATAAACTGTGTCAAATTATTGGCACAGATTAAATGAAAACAGATTGTACGCTTAAATGTAAACAAAAACCAGCTGATATAATCTCCTCCGAAATCAGTGTGACCATGTCAACGGATTGAAACTATTTAATGTTAATCGTATAATCTAGCGGTTCTCATTGGTCGGGCGACCGCACCGCCACAAACTTATAGAGGAAAACTATCGATAAATTAGGTTTGGAATACAAATTTTACTTAAAAAATATCTAATATCTAAGTGTTGGTGAATGTGGTCACACTGATTTGGGCGAAGACCAATCGGAGCACCGTATTCATTTTTTGCATCGCAGCATAGGAAGTGCACAATCTGTTTTCATTTAATCTATATTATTGGTAACTCAAGTTGTTTATATGTATATGTATAACTGTTATTTATATTTATGTATTACCTAGTCTTTTCAACTAATAAAAAAAAAAACAGGATAACAATATCCAAAATTTGAAAAAAAAAATAGTGCTATCTCAACAAAAACACTACATAGAAAAACCGCGCTTAGAAAAAAATATCCAAGTTAGAAAAGTTGTGATATCAAATAGAGGCTAAGTAATTTCTTAAATTCATTAATATAGAAATTGTTTGTATTTGATGAAGTGCAATAATTGAATAAACATAAAATTAACTTAGCTTGGCGGATACGATAGTATGTTTACTTTAATAGTATTATGGTAATGTTATCTATACTATACGAGTCTGCTACACAAAATAGTCCTGGTCGGACCTCTTTTTCAGTGTTTTCACACAATAATTTGAATTATAACGTTGTCTCTTTTCAACAGTGCATGTGCACGACTCAGCAGTGCAAGCCAACTGTGTTTTTAATTATTTAAATCTTATCAACCAAAGGAAGATCGGGCTGCTTGAATAAGTACAATGTACATGTATAATATGTGCATCGTACGTCAGTCTAATAATATTATAGTTATTGGTTGTTTGTAGGCTCCTTGACATTGTTCGAAGGTACATAATATGAGGCACGTTTCTATTTAGAGATTTAAAAAAATTAATCTTTGCACGGACAACGCCGGGCGGGACAGCTAGTATAAATATAAAATGGGGATGTAAATATTTGTGTAGGCATTCGAAGTTAATCTCCAATCTAAGTTAATTTATTTGTATTAAATTATCGCACCTCATTAAATACAAACAATTTCTATAATAATGAATTGAAGAAATTACTTAGCCCCTTTTTGATAACACAGAACTTTTCTTATTTTTTTTTTTTTTTTTAATGAGGTTTTTTACACGTAGTATTTTTGTTGACTACAGTTAATAACCAATACAATATAACGTTGATTTTAAACAAATCATTATTTATTTTATACTTTTCCTTAGGGAATAACCAATCACATCCATAACTCATTAAGCATAACAGGAATCGGATGCGTTTTGGACTTGCTTCATCTTATTTTCCGCAGCTCTAAGTAAGTTAATTTGATTTGTATTATTATTGTTTTAAAATTATACTTACATAATTCGTAATCCTTTTAATGCTTTTATACATGTTGTTAGCTCAAGTTGGAATTCAGTCAGATATTTTCAATTTATAATACATTTTCTTGGTAAGTATGTAGGTACCTATATAATTTATAATTAATAAATAGCTCAAATAAAGTTGGTTCTAAAAATATAATTTTTTGCCAACTTTAAATATATACCTACGAGTCATATTGGCTTACTGAGTTTTATTAACAACTAAATTATGAGTTTAATATAGCTATAGTGTACGAGTTAATTTACATGACGATGCTGCATTGCTACTGGCAGTACACTGAAGCAACTAAAAATATTTCACAAACATCATGGCTAAAAAACCAAACGATATTACCTATCAAACTTGGGCAATCCAGTGCAGCAGCAGTAAATCCTACGGAACCAGCTATGGACGACCCTGTAGCACACGAGCCAAATGTAGCAGCGTCAAACTCTATTGCAGAAACACTAGAACCTATTGAAATGACTAAAACTAGTCAAGTATTAACGGAACCTAATGTAACAATACTGGAACCAAATGCAGTGTCAGAACCTAGTGTAGAGACTGAACCCACTAAAGCAACAGAAATAACCAGTAACAGTGTACCAGTATCAGAACCTACGTTATCATCAACAGAACCCAGTGCAGGAACGCAAAATGCTATCGCAGAAATACTGCAACCTACCGAAACGCCGGAACCTGGAGAAAATGCAGCAGAACTAAGTGGTGCTGACTCTATTACACCTATACAGGAACCCAATTCAGCAGCTTTGGACTCTATAGTAGAAACACATAACCCTGTTTCGGAAACGGAAACTGATGAAAGAAATCAGGAATATAGTGTGTCAACTCCAGAAACAAAAGAAGAAAAACAGTAATTCATTAAAGTTAGAATCAAGAGAAAAATCCTGTAGTCACAACGTCGTCATAATTTAATATTGGAGATGATGCAAGCAAATGAGTGCAACATTTTGAAGCTTATGTTACAACGGCGAATGTAACTATGTATAATGTATACTATCTATAATATACGAAACATTTTTATTAATAATTAAAAATAGAATTTCTAAAATTTACATATTATTACGTAGTAATAATAAATATATTTTTTAATCATGCACATTGAATCAGTATTCAATAAAATCATTAGAGTTTATTTTATTCTTATTACCTTGTGATATTTAACAATGAACATTTAGTTAGAACGCCAATAAAACCACTAGATGGAACTGTCACTGGCCTAACAAGTGATTTTTATTTCCCTCCCAATAAATAGTAATTTCAAATATTTTTCACCATACATTGACGATGACTGTGCGAAAAATGAAATATGTGGATACAACAAAGTCATAAACAATAGCTGCTGTTATATATTTAAGGTAATGAATGGTCCGGCATAAATATCCTCGTTATCCTATTTTGATATTTAAAAACAAAATGTATTTACTCCATTCATTCATTTAGCTATAAAATTGTAATCCATCAATTTGTAATTCTATGAGATTTCCAATTTTGAATGTATAAATATTTCCAATTATTAATAATAATAATAATGATAACAATGTATTTTTAAAAATTCAGGGTAGAGGAATTAAAATTATGAATTACGTAAATGTTTAAATTAAAAAAAGGTGGGTAAGTGAGGTACCACTTGGCATTAAAAAATTCCCAATAGTTTTCAAAAACGTCAGGAAAAACTTCTTTCTATTGTAACTAGATGCAGCCTTTTCACATAATGATTATATTAGCAATTTCTATGCACTATAATATTTTCGAAATACTGCGATTCTTTTTTAACTATTTATAGGTATAAGAAGATATCAAGTTAATAAGCTTTTAGATTCTGAACTTAACCTTTTGGCAGGCGCGCTACTGTGTATTACACGAGCAGGCGCGTATCGTACTTTATACGAAAAATGCTTTTCATATATATTTAATTAAAATGAAGGATAAATAAAAAATTTTTAATAGAAATATTTTTTTGTAACATGTTATTCTTATTTATATAATATTTTATGAATTAATACATATTTTTTTTATAATTTTTTATGATAATTTCAATATAATTATTAATAAAACACGATTTTTTTTTCTATTTCTTACTAAATAAAAGTAACACAGTATAACATAATAACATTATAAAATAAATAAATAATCGAATTCTAGTCTGATAAACTTTCGTTATTACATGTCTGACAAATTATTTCATGTTTGCTAGAATGCTTCTTACATGTGTACAACTTGCATTTATAGCATATCATTGTAGCAGATTATCTCTTTTTTTCGATCGTACATAAACGACAAACTCCGCGCTTCTGAGAATTCAAAATATTTGAAAAATGTTATGGTGTATAGAAAATGCTAATATAAACATTTAATCAAAATTGAATGTACCTAAGAATTGCATCGAAAACCAAAATCAATTCAAATAATTATTGCGCTGCTTCTTCGACGTCGTCTTATCAATCGCCTTCGCCAGCTTCTTTAGAGTGGATGGCATCAGATTCAAGAACAAGCAGCATCACTTATACAGACATGGACACAATGCAAAGTCAATCATTTAAAAATAATTAATTTTTAGTTTTTAAGTTATTTTTTTTCATTTTGGTTTTAAACTATTTTAAAAAGAGTAACAATTTATTTTTTAAAAATGAACACAAGTTATTTTTTTTATGATTTTGGTTTGAGTTATTTTAAGAAGTAACAATTTATTTTTTGAAAATGAACAGATATGTATTTTATTTTGTTTTAAAACAATAAACTTAAGAGTTTCAATGTTGAAATTTGTTATTACGTTATTATTATTGAAAGTTTTTCATCTGGTTGAATACATTCAAGAAGATTACTATTTTTTATATCGTTTGAAATATTATCCAATATGTAATCATACTTATGTATGCTCATTCGAAAATTTTCTTTAAATTAGAGGAATGTTCAGCAGGTAATCCGCCCTCGGGTATATTTAATGAAGACTAAACTAATCTTACAGCCGTAGATAATACGCAGAACAAATATGTAACACCACCAAGAGTGCTAATTCCTTAATGTTTTGTATGAATACGGAGGGGCATTTAATCTCTACTTACGTTGTCTATAAGTCGGGATCGTTGTAGACCACAAGGACAGAAGGGGGTCCACTGAACACGAGGTACAACCTTAGCAAAAGTGGTTGGTTCGACACAAATATTTTTCAAAACTGGTTTGAGACAACTTTTCTTAAAGAAGTCGACAGAGGTGGACCTTGAGTATTAATCAGCGACAACATAGATTAACATGTACTAGAATTATGTGAAGCGCATGAAAAGTTCATTTGTTTACCGCGAAACACAACACATATTTCACAACCCCTCGATATTTTTTTCCACCCTATGAAGGGCTAGAAGATATTGGAGACATATTTTAAGGGAAAGGAAGAGAACAATAACTGGGTCTTGTTGTACAACCCTCCCCAAAGATATATTTTCCAGACTCCTGACCAAATTGATGGGAAAAATAGATATTAATAAGACGGAGAACAGAGAATTTAAAATCGGGTTTTAAGAAAGCAGGCATCAACCCCTTAAACCGACAAAACTTTTAGACCTTTTAGAATTTTATGAAGGGGAAATGTTCGACAAAGATTTAATAAGTAATGCGTTTCTGAACCGCATTCAAAAATAACGTGACAATTTTATTGGTGTATTCGCAAAACTAAAGAAAAAAAAAACTACAAGTGTCACCCGGTGACAAGTATTTACGAAAATCACGAGAAAACCTACGACCTTCAAATGAAACACCTCGACCAAAAAAGAAGGGAAAGCAAGCTGCGTTGTCTTCCTCGAGCGAATCAGATGTAAACGGTATTGATATTTCGTTAAGCGACGAAAGCTCGATGACTGGTCTAATGGTCTCTTACGTGCCCATGGTTGCTAGCATGACAAAATAAATAGGTATGATCACAGATTTTTGATACGCATCCCCGGTTCCTCACTTCACCATAGAAAGTGGTGGGAGACTTCCGCCTCTTTTCATTGGCTGCTTCCCTGCTGGTAGTCTACTGATAGTGATTAGTGGTTGACGGTTATCAATTAATATAATATATTATATAATATTATTATGATTGTACTTAAAATTTAAATCGTGAATTTACATATTGAGTCATATCCATGAAAATAAAATATATCATATATAAAATAATCATTTATTAATTTATTATAGTAATTTAAGTTAAACGACAGACAGTTGGTTAATAAGAAACATTGAGTTTTTCAAATTGTACCGAGGTATTCATAATATTATATTTAATTTATAGTGTGTTTTATAAGATCTGTATGAGTTTAATGTGTTAATATATATTATAACAAGAATATTAATTTATAAATTTTTGTTTTTTTCTCTTTTCTTGTCTCTTCGCGTAGTTTTTCTCTGTGGTCCTGTTGTTGAGATCATTGAGTCTGATGAATGTCCTTGTTCTTACAAGGCATTCAATAGCATATTTTGGAATACACAAATCTTCAATGTGAGGCATCAGTAAGTTGGTCATATTTTTCATTATATTTTTATTTTTACTAATGTTATCTTGATGAAGTTTTTGAAATTCGATTTCTAATTTTCTGACTGCCACCATCAGGTTGTCAGAGGGCAATTTCAAACCACCCTTTGATTTAAAACTAGTCCAACAACTAACAGTTTTATCATCAATTTGTTTGATAAGTTCTGGATGTTTGTTAGCAAAACGGTTAGCAACATATCCAGCTACATATTGGGCACAATCTAGTTCGAGTTCATTGAAAGGCTCACTGTTTTCCATCTATAAGGTAAGAATAAATATTTGTCAAATTAGTTTTAAAATTTATTTAATTTTTTAATTATAACATAGTTAATAGTATTGTATATAAATGACACTTATTAAGTAATAAGTGTCTCAACTCTACAATTAGTTTTAATTTACTTAATGAATAACTAGTTTGTATACTTCAAATTCGGTCAGTAGGTCAAAACATTCTTTTGGAACTGAAGACTTTGATATACATGAACTCGATTCTATATTGGCCATTTCATTATCATGTTCGTTGGAATCATCCACTTCATCAAACACATTTGAGTTAAACATTAAGCTAGTTAAACAGTCACTTTCATTTAACAGACTCTTTTCTGAATCTCCTTCAGAATTTGTATTTTCGGTGAAAACAAAGTCTGAGTGCTTCCCCAAAATGAACCACCTTAAACTAAATTATTAGGTATAGCCAAATATTATAACATTTATTACAATATACAATTTTAATTTTTTTGGTAATGTTTAGTGAAAATATATTTACAGATGAAAATTAGACTTGCCTGTATTTGAAGTCAAGAGCAGTTATATTGTTACTAGCAGAACCTGCCATGCCTTTTAAAAAACTAAACAAGTTCTCAACATCATCTTGATTCAATCTTTTAGTGATAATGTATTGCAAAGCATAATTGCTTTTTAAGTCTTCTAGTAAGTTTTTTAATGAATTATTACATACTAATATACCTATATAATAATAACATTATTTTATTAGGTACTCATTTTCAAAAACATAAAATATTTAATGTATTGACCTTTTTGAAAAGGGAGCAGTGTTTTTTTTCCCATGTACTCGCATTTCCTGAATAAAGCTGGTCATTGTATTCAATAATTCATATTGATTGACCTCATCGAGTCCAAAACTCGGAACACCTCCATCAAATTTGTGTTGTGTGTTGAAAAGATCAAACCAGTTATTAAATAACAAAATCAATTCCGAAGCCTTTTCAAGTAAAAATAAATTTGTAAATTATTGTATTAGTTAAATAATAATATATTTTTAAATACTTGCATCTTTCCAGTTCAATGTATCAATATAATTCTTTGTGCCAAGATATGCAAGAGCCTTAGAAACTGTATCGGAAAACACATTAGCAGCTAGTTTGACATTCATCCTTCCAGTTCCTTGAACTTCAATATGCCGTTCAGTCAATTTAGGTGCCAACTTATAATCTAATCTCTCAGAATCAATTGATAGAAGCTTTTGGAGAATTGCTTTACCAACATACTTTTCATTAGGAAGTACAAACCCACTAAAAAAAAGATTATATAATATTTAATTGTTCTTATTATTGTACATTGCGAGATAAACAACTTGTCAAGTAAATGATTCCTGGCCAATTTTAAGAGATGTGGGACATCTGCAAAAACGTGAACACTTTTTCCTGTATTTGGATGTTTAAATGACGTATTTTCATTTGAAATGTTTAAAGACCGCCATAAAGCCATGCTGGAAGGGCCCATATCATTTACCATCGAAATTACATTAAAACCAATCTTATGTAATTCTTCAATGATATTAAATAGTAGATCTTTAGTCATATGGGTATCATAATTATAAAAAATTGGTTGTTTCCAATTACTTACAAGGCCTAAATAGTAGTTTAATGTAAATATTTCGTTAATCGTTTAATATATTATAGTACTGTATTTAATATTTAAGAATATACCTCGTACAACAACAGTCTGCACACATCTATGTGGACCAATCACCTGTTCATTTTTTTTATCGTAACATATTCTATTGGATATATATGTTTCATCAAAAGCAATAACAGTAAGCTTTTCATTGTCAGTCATTAAAGTTCCTGAATAAGTAAATTAGTTATTTTAAAATAGTAGGCTACAAATTATGTTGTATAATATCAATGTGAAATAAAAAATTATTATTATTAAATTACCTTTGGCTTTCATAAGAGTTAATACACTTTCAAGTATTCCTGGTTCAACCTCAAAAGTTGAAGCCCATCTTCTTAATGTAGACAAACCTTAAATTTGATTTTATGAATGATTATTATTTATTTGTTCCGTTTTTTAAAAGTGTATATTTAAAAGTGTAATGCAACTTTTTTTACTTTATATTATTATTATTTTTTTTTTTTTAAAAGATTTCATTTATATAGTTTTCATCACGTATAAATCGATTCATGTTATAACTCACCTGGTAATGGGTACTGTTTTTTATTCCTTAAATATCTGTAGGCTTTTGGCGAAATACTACGTAATGTTATCGCAGAAGATATGTCTTCTGGTAACCATTTCGAAACTTTTTCACTCGGTCGGAGTATTTGACTAATTTGAGTACTAGTAAATAATTTAGACAAAATGTCACTAAAACGGGATTCGAATCTTTGATTTTCCAAATTAACAAATTGTTTATAGTACTCAATTTTTTCATTTTGCATCTGAATTATATTTTTACATTTTACATTTTCTGCCATAAGTTCATCTTTCTCTTTCTTATATTTTTCAAAATCATTATTCATTCTAAAGATAATTATAAGATACTAATTAAACAATTTAAAAATTGTAAATATACACATGTATAACTAAAACATAAAAACTAGGTACATACAAATATAATTGTTTAATGCATAAAATAAACAAACATTTATTATATTACTTTACATTTTGTATAGGCGTTTTAAAATAATATGGATTGATTAATGTATAGCATAAAAGTAATTTAAAGAATACAATACAATACATTTATATTAGACTTATGCTGAGTTGCATTTCAATAAATATAATTAAATATAACATTATAGATAACAAAATATAATTTAATGTTCTCTGATTGGTTAGGTTATTTGATTGGTTCACTAAATTTTAATTAATTAAATGGTTTCTGCTACTCTACAATAGATATTAAACATCAAAATATAATTATAAAAAATAAGTTAGGTAATAAGTGTCTACATATTATATTCAAAAATATATATAACAATAGTATAAGAACAATAAAAAAAGATATAATATCAATTACAAAATGTAAAAACTAATAATTAATTATCATTCAAGTAGATATCTCAATATCAAACACAAATTCTTAATCAAACAGGTTATTTAAAATAAACTATCCCTGAACGACCAAGAACAAGTATTTTTTATTAAGAATGAGTAAGTTTCAGTGTTCTGCCGTTCTGGTAGTACATGTCATAACGGATATTCATTTATTTTGTTGTTGTTTATACCTCATGCAAATACAAAAGCATTAAAGATTAAAAATATCACAGAAGACAAAACACAAATATCGTAAAAATATACTTTTGAAATAAGTCTGGCTCATTATTTTCAAGGCATTTGACACCAGGTATAGTGTCCGATACACCAAACAAATCAACTTGGCATGATATTTTTCGCCTGAACACAGATTCAACACTAACAAAATATATATCAATATTTTAAATGATTAGTTTTTTACTGTAAGTTATACCACATTATAATATTATCTGTGGTTATAATGCAATATACATAACATAATAAAAATATAGCTTATTAAATATATATACCTTTTAGATTCATCAGCTGAACTGGTCACAGAAAATAATCCAGCTGGAGTTTTTATTGGAGAAGATTGATTTCCATCACTAAATAAACAAAATAACATTAATTCATATTCGAAAATTGTTTAACTTTATACAAAAATCACAAAATTAAATTGAAATCAACCTAAAAGGGATAGCAGTAGGTTTTAATTTTCTCCCACATTTTGGAGAATAATCCAACATATTTTGCACATTTGTTCTTTCTTCGTATGAATTTACAGAAAAATGTAAAGAACATACGGCAGCTAAAATAAAATCAGTTAAATTAATTAATATGTAATCATACAGCCGATCCTTCAATAATTTATCATTTAACGCCAGGTCTTAATAAAAACATTTTATTCAATTTATACAAAAATAATTTACCAGTATCACAGTTAATCTCTTTGATCACATTTGAAGCATTTCGAATTTTTTCCACCCACAAAGCTCTCATTCCGACATCTTTAGGAAATCGATGTATATGTATCTTTGGGTCACAAAATAACCCTTTCCGTTTACTGCCACTAAAACAATTTTCGACTATACAAACTGGCATATTGATAACTTTACCACAATTAAACCTGTAACAAATAACTATGTACGAACAAAAATTACAAAATTAAAATTTTTACAAATTCATAACGCATCAGTGGTAATTGGTTATGATTAATATCAAATGACAAAAGACGAAAACCAAATATGCATAAAAGTATAGAACAATGCAATTACAATCGAAAATACAAAAAAGGCGCCATACAGTATAAGCCAATCAAGAGACGCGGAAGACTCCCACCCTTCTCTGCGCAGACTGAAGAAAATTCAGTTTGTTGTGATCATACCTATCTATTTAGTCATGGTTGCTAGCTGCATTTTGTTTAATGTGTTCGCCTTATATTATTAATTTTTCAAAATGAATAGTAACTATTATTTTATAATAAAATAAATTATAATTTGTATATATATATAGACAACACTGTCTACCTACTCTTGCCGCCGAAGCGACGTCTAGTTAGTAGGTACTTAGTAGTAGTCTGTTTTTGCGTGTACAGCGGAGTGTGTCCGGACTACACACGCTCACGGGCACTAATTTAAATTAAATTGTCATTATTTTATTATTATTATATTGTGTGTGTCTCAAGGCACAATTAAAGTGTTGATTAATTAATTATTGAGTGTCTCGTTTTTTGTGTAGCCTAACCGTATACTCATTTCCTGATATCCACACGAGGCCCTACAATATATTAGGTACCTAATATATAATATAATAGGCAGGGTTGGGCACTTTTCAATTACTTAAGTAATTTGTAATTTATTGGTAATTGATTATAAAATGTTGATGTAATTTGTAATTGATAATTAATTACATAATATTTGTGTAATTAGTAATTTATAATTACCAACAATTACTTTCTAGTATACCTACATTTAAAATTGAACTGTACAATCAAAGTTTATGTTTCTATTAATTCTATCTACTGATAAATGTAATGGTTAGTAATTTGTAGCGATACCGTATATATCTCATCGCTGTCCGTCACTGATTAACGTCTCGTCATCTCGCATAGACGTATAGTGGTAAATAATATTTTTTTGCGACTGTAATTATGTTACTTACTATTTTTTCTTTATTTATTAATAAGTAAGTAATTACTGTAAATTTTTCCTTATTTATTAATAAACCGGATTAGGATTAATTATTGATAATCACTTGAAATGGAACTTACATGTTAACAATCTATTAGAGAAACTACGCTTCATAACCTATAATAAGTTCAAACTAAAAAAAATAGTTCCAAAGCAAACAATGAGATTAGTTTATTTTGCTCTATACCAATCCAATTTCCAGTACGGTTTATTAGTATGGGGTTGGCCTTCGAGACAATATTATATGTAAATCACCTAATAATAAATCAAAATAACATTGTTAGAATTTGCCTAAATAAGCTTTCACTAAAAGGATCAACAATTGAAAATTATAAGGAATTAGGGGTCTTGCCAGTAAGACAATTATATAAAAAAAATAGCATTTATGTTCATTATTAAACAACTTGATATTGATCAGTTACATAGTGATAATAGTCATATAAGAGAAATTAGAAAATATGATTGTCCAGTTAAATATACCTATACATCTTTTGGTCAAACATTTGTAGATTATCTAGACCCGACTTATTACAATTCTATGCCTCTGGAATTTAAAAGAAATATTATTACAAGTAAAAAAATTAATATTAAATGATTATTATATAAATATATATTTTTAGAATTGAATAATAATGTGTATTAATTGTATTCTTTATTGTAAATTATTGCTAAATTGTATGTTATTTATATATATAGGTATAACAGTATATTTTGATTGCTATAATGCTGTATCCACTAAATGTATTACTAATTTATTTATGTTAAAACTTTACATCACTTTGTCTTTTTTTCTCTATTATTATATTATATTTTTAAAGTGTTCATATTCATAAGTCAATGTACACAATATTATAAGAAATTACCTAATTATTTTATTATTTATTTTATTTTATTGGTAAATGTAATAACTCCCTACCTCCAAAACAAGCTATTAGCTTACTGGAGGTAGGTAATCAAAACTGTAACTATTTGTTAAATTTGTTTAATTTGTAACCATTTATTTTGATTTCTAATAAAAAAATAAAAAAATATCAAAACATTTGAATAATTGAATAATTTATAATATAGTAAATAATTAAAAGCAAATACATAAAAAAGTGTTACCCTAATGAGACATTGTTTGCAATGCCTCTTAAAAATAATATGATTCTATTTTTGTCATAATTTGAGACCAATTTTAGAATTCTTTTATTATTATCTATGTATTTATTGTATTTCTTTTTTTTTTCGGTGGACTTAAACCAGTTACCAATTGTTCACAAAAAACGTCTCTTCCTGATTGAATTTTTTTCAGGCAATTTATAAACGACCATATCGTTGGATTAGTAACACCCATTTGAACGTTCAAACGCCTATTTGCAGCTTCGGCGTTTTTATTTGTACGATTTTGATTTGTTAACACCCTTTGATATAAATTCCATATGTCTGAAGAAAATTGTGGTGATCGACGACCCACTTTTCTGCGATTTTTTCTTCCTATATAATATTCTTCGAACCATTCGAGTAATGGAACAATTTCGTCAGATAATTCATCAGCAAGCAAATCTGTTGCCACTTCCAGATCTTCAATTGGTACAAATATGTTAGTGAAATTATAATTTTTACCATTACAGAAAAATTAGCATCATTGTTATAATTTGATATCATTCCTATATCCGCCATTTTTTTCCTAAATTTTTTTGTTAAATGATAATGACATCCATGTATGTTAACTTGAGGAAACGCTTCTTTAATTGCATGAATGGAAGCGATTTCAAAATCAATGGAAATAGAATGTGGTAATAAACTAGGACTTAAATTGATTAACATCGTAAATAATTTGCGATAAGTTTCACCTTTTTTATTTGGTAGTAGTGCGTATATTACTGGATGAATACCACCCACGTCTTCTGCCAAAACAATGTATACTTGCGAAAACAATGAAGGACTAACACTAAATGTACCATCAACAAACCATGTTTTAGAACGCTCTAAAATATTTAGCCCTGTTTGTATTACAAATATTAAGATTCTATTAATTTCTTTACCACTATCAGCTAATAAAAAATGTTCTTGAATACCTTCTTCTGGCGAATAAGTTTGATATATTTCGGGTATTTCCAATGAAATAAGATCTAAAGGTGATGGTGGTGCAAACTGAACTTCTCTTCTTTTTCTTCTGAATTGCCTTTTTAGTGCATCATTATTCGGAAGTACACCATAGTATGAAAAAAAAACGAATATAATTCACAAATATTAATAATATAGTATTAAAATTAAAAAATAATATAGGTGTTTATTGATTTTAAAATTGTTTTTATTTTTATATTATGATATATTATATAATCACCTTTGCTGCTTGTGATAGGCCTAACGTGCACTCATCAATAACACATGATGTTTGTTCCATCGTGGACAAAGCCCGTTTTTTGATGTTGGTAATGGCAATCTCTGTTTCAATTTTGGCAGCATCAGAACCATGTGTATGCTTATTTTTAGATCTTTTTAAAATTGTTTTATAGGACTAAATAGTGTGACGTCACAATTTGCTATGATAACATGCATGGTTCCAAACAAACTGTTATCACAAATTTCCAAATAAGAAATACACAGCAACTTTGAACCAAAACTTTAAACTTATATTTTAGTTCTTAAAAATGCTTTCTTAGTACTTTTGTTAATCCTGTTGATTATAACACGTTTTTAAATTGTCCATTGTCTAATTTAATAAGGTATAACCGAGCCAAAATGTCTTCTGCTTTCAAGTTTCATAGAATAGTTGAATTTATTAACGATCCTAAACTTTTAGCTAAAGGGGAGAATCACTTTGAGAGTGGTAATGTCCTTTCCTGTAATTTTGTTCTGGGCGTTTTAACAGGTAGTGTTCATTCTAGCATGAAAAAAAAATGAATGATGTTGAGGTAATTTATACAAATAATTAAAAAAATCTTTTAAATTGAGATTGATTTAAAGTATTTTTAAAATTTTAGATACACCTTAATAATGACATTATTGACTTTGCTAAGTGTACTTGGGCTGTGGGGCAAACTAAATGCAGTCACATGACAGCCTTTTTGTTAAATGCTCATAAAAACATATCTGTAACCGATAAAGAATGTGCCTGGCGCAAACAAAAATCTACTGATGATGATAGGGTTTGTACAATAGATGAACTTTATCCTGATAAAAGCAACTCTATTATTAAGAAAATCAATAGTGATATCAAGCAGTTATGTTTTGAAAAACTTATGTCCAGTAATCACGTAGTGGGATTTACTTGGTTACTTACTCCAGAACCAAGTAATTCTCTTCAAAATGTTTTGAGTTTGCCACCTTTAGATTCGGTACTTTTTTCTGAAGAATTTAGAAAAACGATGGATAAAAAACAATTTTTGAACAACTATTGCAACCTTGATTTCAAACAAATTGAAGAAATAGCTGCTCAAACGGTAGGATAGTCAGAAAATATAAAGTGGGCTTTTTACAGACAGAACAGGATCACTGCAAGAAATTTTTCAAAAGTGTTAAAGAGTGTTAAAAGAAGCGTGTACCCTCCATCTCTTTTTAAAACTCTCATAGGATGTTATAACCTAGAATCTTATAGGTCTGTACAGAGGGGAAAAAATCATGAGAAGGTAGCTCTAAAAGAATTTGAGGAAAAATTAAATATTCAAGTTCAGCCCACGGGTATATGGCTTCACACTTCAGGTCTCATAGGAGCTAGTCCTGATGGATTGGCTGTAATGAATGGCAAACAATACTGCATTGAAATAAAATGTCCTTTTAAATTCCGAAACCAAGTCCTAGAACAATGCTTAGCAGAGCACACAGATTATATTTTAAAATTAAATTCTAATGACAAGATATATGAATTAAATACTGATCATGAAGACTTCAGCCAAATACAAGGGGAAATATTTATGACTAAATCTGTGGGTTGTATTCTAATTGTATGGACAACTAAAAGTATGGTTGATATCCAAATTGACGCAAATGATGACGGGAAGAACAATATTGATATTTTATTCGATTTTTATCATAAACAGTATGTACCTTGGTTGTTAAATAAATAGAATAATATTAATTTCATTAAATATTATACCACATATTACATAAAACAAAAGTTGTTTATTAAAAACATTGTTATAGATTGAAAACACATTAGTTTGCTTCAAAATTATTAAAAACTGTTATTATTAAATTAGATTATAGATAGGTAAGTACATTTTAAGAAAAAAAAATATGAGTTCAACTTATGGAGGTTTATAAACATGAATTAAACATCATTGAGTTCTGTAGCTGATACAGTGAATAAACTTTCTACTTCTTTAATAAGTGGATTTTGAAAATTAACCAAGGATGCACAAAGTTGAAACACTATGGACAATTTTTTGAACAAAGATTTTGGAATATGACTCAAAATGTTGAATCTCTTTAATCTACTAATATCTCTTTCAACGTGAATCCTAGCACGGGCAATAGTTTTTGTTTTTTCAACTTCACTAGGTGTGAACTGTGAAGAAGTAAGAAATGGAGGGATGTTTAAAGAAACCACATCAGGTAAAATGTCTGATATAAGAAATCCTTTGTCTGCCAATATTAGATCACCCGACTCAAATAAACTTAAAATTCCACAATGCCCTACAATTTTCTTATCAGAAGTTGACCCTGGGTGCAATTTGCTGACAAATGTAATAAATCCATTAGGTGCAACTCCGATAAGCCCTTTATTGTATTTTTATGTTTGTATGAACTGAAAGTAGCTCTTTGGTGATGCAATTGATGAGGAATGTCACAGGCTACTTCTGTACAGTCAATAGTCATCCTACAATTTTGGAAGCTTACAAAACAATTAGGCAGACAGAGTCTGTTTTTGGTTTGAGAAGGCACAGTTTCCATTAGTTTATTGAATAATATTTCATGAAGAAAAATTATATATGTCAGAATAATATTGCAAACGGTCGATTCACTTGTATTGAATCTAATGGCTAAATCTTTGTTGACCAAATTTAATCTTAATTTAAGAAAAGTTATTAAAATTTAATCTTCAATTGAAAAACATTCCACTTTCCAACCATTATAGTATTCAAATTCTACAACTCCACATAAGTGAACAATTATGTCAAACATCTCTTTAGAAATACCAGTGTAAAAAGTAAAAATATCCGCATCTTCGCAGATACAGTGATAGCCAAATTTCTGAATTTTCAACAACCGGTTTTCTATTTCTAAGCTTTCGATTTTTCGATTCTAGAAATATATTTCAGCGTCAGCCAGTACATTATTATGGTGAGTATTTGATAAATCTGCATCACATCATTGTCATTGTTCATTTCATTACTCAAAAAAATCTTCCTTTTCCTATAAACACAAACATTTTTCATGTTCATAAAGAAAAATCTTAAACATAAATTTATAATACAACACTGATTTGAATAGATAAATAAATAAATATACATACAAGTATTTATAAATGTAGATGATTTATTTATTTATATCCAACAATAGATTACAATTTATAGAAACAATTTAAGGTACAGGAGTGATCGCTTCAACACGTTCGGACAATCGTCATGCCATCTGTTTTGATTTTGCGACGCTTCGCAGCTTGGATATGCCGCGGTCGTATATGTGCTGTCAGCCGATTCATCAAGTGCTCAACGTGCTGTTCTCGTCGGGTCTAAGACCAAGCTTGCTCCGATGAAGCCATTAACAATACCACGACTGGAGCTGAACGCCGCACTGTTACTCGCCCGGTGCATCAAGCGAATTTTAGATCCTCATCTCAAGATTGTTGGGACTTCCAGCTGGACCGACTCGATGATAGTCCTATCCTGGTTAATGGTCCCTCATACTTCATTCAAGGTGTATGTGTCCAATCGTATCCATCAGATCCGCACCATAGTGCCTGATTGTAAGTGGAGCCATATTGAGTCGACAAACAATCCTGCCGATTGTGCCTCAAGAGGTGTAATGCCTTCAGAACTCACCAAGCTATCCCTCTATTGGCAAGGTCCTGTAATTCTTCGGGCCAATCCATCTACGTGGATGAATCTCGTAGCACCCATGCCATTGTGCAGCTTACCTGAAGTGTCACCAGTATCCTTCACAACTCGAATCGACCCGCACGACTGTTTAGAAGAATGGTTCAACCGTTTTTCATCATGTGACCGCATGATTCGCGTCACCACCATAATGCACCGTTTCATCAACCGGTGCCGTCGTTGCGTTCTTGAACCACATCCAACGAAGTGTCTGAGTCTAGTTGAGGTCGACTGTGCAACTCGCAGTATTATCAGAGAGTCTCAACGTATTTACTTATCTGACCTATTACGTGAGCTATCAACTGGGACGAGGGTATCGTCAAAGCCGTTGGCTCGTTTAGCTCCGTTCGTCGATGATGTTGGAATCATCCGAGTTGGTGGTCGCCTTCGTCATTCCACCCTATCGTACGAGTGTAAATACCCAATATTAATTGCCAAACATCCCCATCTAGCGCTATTGATTTGTCGTCGGTGGCATCGTCTAACGTGCCACTCCGGCCCCCGTGTCATGATATCACTTATCTTACGCCAATACTGGATCATCGCCATCCGCTCGGTTGTACATGAAGTGGTGACAAAATGTTATGCATGTGTACGTTTAGCTGCAAAACCTCCTCAACCTTTGATGGCGGACCTTCCTGCTGCACGCGTGCAACAAGTCCGTCCATTCGATTGAGTAGGCGTGGACTATGCTGGCCCCCTACAAATGAGAGAGTTAAAGCTTCGGAAATCTCGGAGCTATAAGGTTTACATAGCGGTGTTCGTCTGTTTTTCTATAAAGGCGGTCCACCTTGAAGTGGTGTCGGACTTGTCAACCGATGCTTTCCTGGCAGCGTTTGACCGTTTCGTCGGCCGTCGTGGACTCCCCAGTGAGGTATACTCCGACTGCGGAACAAACTTCGTTCGTGCTGACAAGCAACTGCAAGCGCTTATTAACAGCCCACAAGGTCAGCTCGCCATTACTACCACCTCTCGTCCACTTTGTAAATGGCATTTTAACCCCCCAGTGCTCCGCACTTTGATGGGTTATGGGAAGCGGCTGTCCGGTCCACTAAGCGTTTGTTGGTTCGCACAATGAGCACCCACGTCTTCACTTATGAATAGTTCAGTACTGTCCTGATCCGCATCGAAGCCGTCCTCAACTCTCGACCACTGACGCCCGCATGCATCCACAGACCCTTATGATTTGGAGTGTCTCACACCTGGGCATTTCCTCATTGGACAACCGCTGCTCGCCGTTCCACCACGTTCCAACCCAGATGCCACCCGTAACTTGACTAACCGGTGGAAGTTACTGGACCAGTGCTATCAAGCTTTTTGGAAACGTTGGTCAACGGAGTACTTGACAACGCTCCAAGAACGCGTCAAATGGACCGATCATGTCCCTAACCTAAAGGTTAACGACATGGTTGACAATCAAGCACCACCTTTATTATGGCGTCTCGGGTGCATCATTGAACTGGTGCCGGGACCCGATGGAACCGTGCGAGTTGCGTCGGTGTTAACGCATCAGGGACGCATCACACGACCAGAAGTTAAATTGGTTGTGCTACCGACCGACTGAAAATGTAAATTACTCAAGCCCCCTAACGATTTAATATTGCCTGTTTGTTATTTGTGTTTTACTAGTTATACGTGCAGGAATCTCACACTTCAACATGACACCTTATATGCCTTATACCTTATATGACGTATGTGGCGGTCACCTGCGATGTTCTCGTTGGAGGGGGTTGGGGGAGCTGTATACTGTACTGCTTTGTTCAAATATGTTTACTTTAATTATTTTATGGATTATATCCATTGTTACCGTAATATGTAATATGTAGTTATTCATTTTTTTCTGTATGTCTTTTCCATGCAATTTTTTTTTTTTTTTTTTGTTACACATCTACTTTGAATTATATAAATTAGATTCAACATCATTGGCGGCATATCCCACGATGACAAGCGGAGCTCCCCATGGGGGAGAATGTTTAAACTGCCGCCTTTTCCGATCTGGACTTCACCACCGGTGAGCGCGATACCGCACGATACCACGGCGAGTCTCGACCTTTAGACTCCGGCTCCCCCCATGCCCACAATCTGGAAGGCTCGCCGCTCGGACGTCGTCTCCGTGCCGCCTACTAGTCTACGTTTTGACGGTGCCGATGTACAACGGCCCGTCGCTTAGCGTGTCAATATTCGTGCGTGCCGATACATTTTCCTGGTTACTCCACGTGTTGCGTCCACAAGTAGGTATTCTCGGTTTAAGTGATATACCAATAATTGTGCGTTGGTAGTGTCGTTCTGTTTTCGGTCGCCAATCAGAGGGTTGAGTTCGGTTGTACGCTTGTACATCTGTTGATTCACTTTGACAAACCGCGTGCTCGACTTAATCACCTCTCACGGATTTATAACATGATGCTGAAAATCCGTCGTCAGTCGTGACTCGTGCCACGTAAGTGCGTGTTTGAGTGCATATACCGGGTCGTCTCGATAATACGACGAGTTAAATCTGTTTTTTTCCGTTAATTTGAAAACGTGGCCGCCGCTGCCGCCGCCCATTGTCCCGCCACCGCCGCCCATTGTCCCGCCACCGCCGTCAACAGCAAAGGTGCGTTGCCTGAACAGCCAGACTGACGATGGCCTGTACGGCTTATCTGATTTTGATAACGACATGCGGCCAAATTTTTGATTGTTGGAAGGCAACGCGAAAACCGCTATCAGCGATTAATATTTATCAATTATCAGAAGACACACCCTTTATACTCAAGTACTCAACCAGCATTCATGACTTTGTAGTAATATTATATTAATTATATTAATATAATATTATGATCATTGATTTTTAATTTTTATTTGTACTCTACTTGTTAGGATTTATATGGATAAATTGTTTATTATATAATTATTGCTATTTCAACATTTTTGTAATAGCAGTACAAGTACTTAAAAATGTATCGGACCGTTGTTAACAAAGAACTTAGTACCTACTTTGTAGTGAAAGATAAAATATATATTAGTCTAAACAGAATATTGTTAGAACGAGCACATATTAAATTAATTGCTAATTTCTTAATTTACCTGTGGTTATGACCTCACAAAGCACTTGATATGGGCAGTTGGGGTCATCATTAAAGATGGTTTTGTTCTCATTAAGAACAAACTTCACAAATTGTAGAGCCATTATTATTTATTATTATTTATTAATACTAAATATTCATTATTCCAATATTTCGAAAATTCGATAATTTATTAAATTTATGCCATTATCAACAAAGTATTATCTTATCAGCGACAGGCCGTCGACGATTCTGCTCTACGGGATGGCCGGTTTAGCGACGGCCAGGATACACAAAAGCCGTCAAGGCAACGCATGAGACAAGCGGCCTGGCTGTTTAGGCAACGCCAAATACGTGATTGGTACCATATTGGCCGTGGATTGGCCGTTTAGGCAACGCACCTCTAGTGTCACCGTGCTATCACCTGCCGCCGCCGACGTTATCATCATCGTGGTCTAGTCAACGACTATCATCGCCATCGCCGCCGTGGTATCGTAATCATTTTGTTGTATGTTGTAATTGTTCATAAGACATATTATATTTTTTTTTGTATGATTATAATTATTATTTGCTGACTGACAAAGAGACGTCTTCAACGGTCGCGACTCTGTGCAATAAGGACCTATGTACGTTATTCTTAGTCGGATATATATATTATACATTATTATTATTCAACCAAATTTTGTGTTAACGTTTACTATCATAAGATCATTGTCACCTCACTCCCATACCGACGCGAGTCGTCGTAGCTAACCGCCATATCTCGTTGGAGTTACGTCGGCGCCAACAATTTCAGTTTTACCTAGGTTCAAACTGGTGTAGAACATTTTAGTAAGTATACCATCTCATGATTGTGAAATTAACATGGATTAAGTAGGTACTTCAAGAACCCAAAACAAAATATTTTGAATATATTTTTATTTTGTATACCTTTTGATGGTGTGACCATTAAGCCAATTAAATTTTTTAATTAAGAAGGTAATATCTATCTCTAACTTAATATATAGGCATATAGCAGTGGTTATCTAATAAACCATCTATATTTAAGAACTAATCCAAAAATACATTTTATAATAAAATAAAACTGATAGAGTTTGAACAAAACTAAAGTAAGCATATTATATCAAGATCTCTCCTGGATAAAACAACTTTAAAATTTTGGCTCATTTTTTATATCTTTGAATAGTTACAATATCTCGAAGTAACGCATAAACTAGATGCCATAGTGTACTTTCATCTTTTCTCTTCGTTACATATGATGCATATTCATTACTATCGCAATATGCAACGGCTAAAATTTGAGTAACAGAATCAAAAGAACAGGTAGTATAGGCAAGCACAATGTTTTCATCATCA